ATAGATAGATAGATAGATAGATAGATAGATAGATAGATAGATAGATACTAACTTGGTCATCATCGCAGTCTTCACTGTCACTGATCTCTAGATCTTTATGCAGTGTTCTGAAAAACAAAGAAGTCACCCGTGCAGATCAGTACTCAGATTTAGAACTACCATAAAGTTATTTTGGAAAATGCAAGCTTAATTTTCTTAATTCTCTTGGGTTTTGTATGCCATGTTCATGGATGAGATTGAAAAGTTTTACCTTCCCTGTTTAGTAAAGAAAGTGTGCTAGACAAATTATGGTGAACACAGTTTTTTTCCGAAAATGTTCTTGATGGAACATAAATTTCAGATTTGCACTGCAAAAATACAAAAAAAAAAAAAAAAAACCCCAACCACATCCTCTTGAAAGCAAATGAAATTCATGCTCAATGTTGCCTAATACAGAAAACAGCCATCCCATAAAAGAAAATCTACAATATATGCTTCTACAAATGTGATTCTGTGATATATTCCTAGGCATTGAAACAATTTTGATAGGCAAAACAAAATGCTCCAAGTTTGTCTCAATAATAAACTACTTAAAGCTTGCCATAAAATGAAACATGATATTAATGTCTAGTTTACTTTTACTGAGATTTTGAGAACAGCTGTGAACAACTGAGTAAACAAGAACAATTTTATGATATGTAACAAAACATATCATATATGTTTTGATATAAACATTTAATTTTAATAAATTAAAATTAGAAAATAAATTAATTAAGAGAATTAATTCAATAGTACCTCTCTGATGAACAAGAAAATATGTGACATTTAAAACTCTAAATCTTTCAAAGCTACCTATAAAATCATGAATATCTACATGTGATACATGCAGGAAAACGGCAAAAAATGCATAGCTGAATTGAGTTAAAATAAAAATCATTAAAATAGCATCCTAAGATGTTTTGGTTTCAGTTCTGAAAATATAAGAAAGTTCTTTGCTCCTTCCAATAACTTCAACATTGTGCTCAATGTGTTAATGATTTGCTTTTTTCATTTATCCAGACAAACTGAAGAGTACAGTATATTGTGCTGTTCTCAAAATGCGGAAATATGACCACTTTGGGAATGATGCCTGGCAGCGGTTTGCTACCAAACAAATAATGCTTTTAAGAGCCAAGAGAACAAAGTGATGGATAACAAATCCAAATGAAAACACAAGAGATTAGAGTTTCTAGATAAGATCTATTTATTTAAGCTTGCCAGCTGGCAGTCCTTTTTAAGTATACCTCTTCTCCAATCCTGTAATACACACACACACACACACACACACACACACACACACACAGAGAGAGAGAGAGAGAGAGAGAGAGAGAGAGAGAGAGAGAGATGACTGAGTGTGCCATGTAATTGGAAATTACTAGAGTGTTTAGAACAGGGGTGTCAAACTCACAACATCATGAGGACATAATGTGACATATCAGGACTTCTGCCCCCTTTGCTAAACTGAGCGTGGGCATGGCCAGCGTGTGACGCATCTGGATTGAGGGCCAGGAGTTTGACAGCCATGGCCTAGAATGTAGACATATTTTGGCTGAAGAGCAAGTAACAAGTACCCCAGCATTTCCTGGAAGGCTTTGTATGCAGCATTTGTGGATCTTAAATCAATAATTGATTCAATTCCCATACACAAGTTGTGATGGAGGTTAAAACTTTCCTCCATCTAATATAACAGTGACTGTTATGTCTCACAATAGTATCTGGATGCCCGAGGACAATGGTCTGCTCAAGTCTCGGTTCAAATAGGGTCTACCAAATGTTTGCTTCAGTATCTGGTGATCTTATACCTTATATCAAAGCAAAGGTTATGATACTCTCAAGAAAGAGAATGGTCCATAAACACATATGGATGGGATGTAGGCAAAGTGAACACACACACACACACACACACGCATGCACACCTGTATCCAGGTTAAGTCTCAAGTTTCTTGTCTATTGGACAGCAATTACAAAAGGGTGGGGCTTAAAGTTTTTAAAGGCCAAGGAAATCAGTCAAATGAATTTTCAGGTAGGTAGCCATAAAGGTTCCCAACACTGGAAACTATTTATTAAAATTTTTAACATATATTCCAGGCCCTCTGATGTATTCCCATTGAGAGTTTATGCTTGGAATGAGTGATGGCCCTATGCAATTGAGTCAGGTTGCTTAAAATATTGACTTAAGCAGGGATGTTTATCTTAATCTTTGACTTCCAGTATCTTGAATGATTATATTTCTTGGTAGAAAAAAAAACCTTAAAAACAGCATTTAATATTTTAGATTCACTGGTCAGCTTCTGAGAAGGTTAAGATTATAATCAGGTCGTGGCTGTTAAGATATAAGCCACCAAAAACAATTTGATGGGAAGAGGCCAGCCCAAGAATCTTTATATTATTATTTAATATTGCTTATGCTTCACATCGAAGAGCTTTCTCTTCTCCTGCTGAATGTGTTACCATTAATGTCTCTGGAAAAGAAATATAGCAAGATATCCTTAGAATAGATTGGTCTATGTGCAGTTAGAAAAACAGATGCAACCATGCACCAATTCCTGCACTACTGCTATAATACAGACACCCATTCAGACCTATTAATACCCCTTCTAACCAAATGAATAGAAAAGAGTCATTATACAATCTCTTATCAGACCAGTCATTACAATGAAAGTGTGTGTATGATTTGACTGTTAAATATGTTTTAGCAGAATGGCTGATTTTATAATCTTGATATTTTATGGATGGTAGGCTATTAAGTGGGGATCATTTTTGTGCTGAACATTGATTGCCCCCAAATTATTTTTTGACCATAAATATAGACTATCTAATAGATACACACATCTAAGTTTTCATCAACATCAGTCCAGGAAATAGTAATAGCAGACTTATATACTGCTTCACAGTGCTTTACAGCCGTCTTTAAGCGGTTTACAGTCAGCATGTTGCCCTCAACAATCCGGGTCCTTATTTTACCAACCTCAGAAGGATGGAAGGCTGAGCCAATCTTGAGCCAGTGAGAATCGAACTGCACAATTAGCCTGCAATACTGCAATCTAACCACTGCACCACCACAGCTCTTTAAACTGTTTTTTTTTATTACAGTACGAAAGAAAAGTGACTGAAAATTCCTGTAATCATTTCTATCAATATTTCTCCTTCAGAATGAAAAGCAGCTGAAATTTACACACATTTTGCATGAAAAAATCTTAGCTTTGATCCCTGCCAACTCTAGGAAGAAAGGATTCAGAATCAAAACTAGAGAGATTTGTCAATAAGTTTATACGACTCGTGACTAGATGTCCCCAAATTACTATAGGGCAGCTTCTTAAAAAAACCAGCCTGCATGTTATTAAAAAAGGTTGTTATTTAAAAAAAGCCCACTGGAGATTTGAATGAGGAGTCAAAATAATCAACATGTATCTGGCTATCCAGGGAGAAGGGTAGATCTGCTAGATCTATCATCATCATCATCACCACCACCACCACTACCATAATCATAATATATTTTGCTGTCTATGCATACAAATGTACCAGTCAGACATGGGGGAGGAAGGGTATTTGAGGGCCAATGCACCTTTATCTGCCCAAGTCAGAATACAAATTAACCGTGTTTTTGGACCATCGTGGACCATTTTTTCTTTATTTTTCACAGGTGCTAAAAACCAATGCCGATCCTATGAAGCAGAACTAAAGCCATGAAGATTCATATTTGAAATGAGATCAGGCCCTTCTTCACTCCTTGTTTCTTAGCCTTCTGCTATACAGCTCATAGCAAAGGGCATCTGCAGGACTGAGGTAAAATAAAATTCAGATGATAGCTGTGATTGTGCTATGGAAGTTCTACCTGTTTTACCGATGGCAGATGAAAAAAAAAACCCAACATATAATTTATATTATACCTTCAGTATATTGCAGTCTTAGTGGTAACCCTCCATAGTCGATAATCATATGAGACAAAACAATTCTGTGGCTTTGTCAAGTTACTGAATAAAATTACTAGCAGGGAAATCAGCCCCTTGTTTAGCCTTGATTAGTATAAACACATTCTAATGAAGTTTGGTCCTTCGGCATTTGTATTGTACAATGAATCCTATTATGTAAAGGAGAAGATATATCAAGGGATTATGTCGGGATAAGTAAAACCCCAGAAGGCAATCGTTCAGCTACATATTGAAGCTAATAATAAGATCCCCTGTATGAATGTTCCTTTTCTTCCTGGTTCTATGGTATTGATTTCTACAAAAACTGCAAACAAACAAGACACAGTTATCCAAGGAAAGGAAGTTTAAAAGCATGCAGAAGAATTGTGGAGTTGTAAGAGCAAAAGCATGCAAGAGAAAGGTTTACGTCTCACGTTCTGAACTGGGACAAGATTTTTGTCAATTATTCTTTCATTCAATTGGGATCTTGTGGCGGTGACTGTGCATTTACCATAGTCACAAGTGAAGGAAGTGCAAAAAGAAAAAGAAAAAAAGTGGTCAAAAATTATTTCATTCACTCGATTTACACTCTAGCATTTACAGAATTTCCCTTTCGGGTACTGATTAGATTTAGATTTATTTTGTTACATTCCACTGTCTCATTCCATGCTTCATCAGTTCTCATGGATATTCTGAACTGATCTATAGACCATGCAGAATAGATGATGGAGCTAACTATTGGACTTCAGGGACCTGGTTTCATGTTGCCACATCATTCATCTGGCACGTAATGGGAAGAATGGTTTAATGGAACTTTACATGAAACATTAGTAGGGATCGTTCAAAAGGATAAACCACAGCCTGCTAGGAGTTCAGAACTGTTAAGTTTTCATTCTATACAAGTGGGCTAGTAGAAATAAGAACCAAGTCCACAACTGGTCATCTTAACAAATACACATGCCATTTGTTTGGTACATTTGCTTTCATATAATGGTTAAGATGCTGGACTAGAAACCTGGAGACCCCACATTCTAGTGCTTCTTTACATAGAAGCCAACTGGGTGACTTTGGGTTTCTCTCTCTAAGTTCATCCCATGTCACAAGGTTTGATGCTAGGGGAAAATACGGAGCACAATGTTCCCTTATGCTATACAAAATAAAAGGCAAGATAGATAGAT